TACCCGCCATGCATGCCCAACGAGATCGCGTACACAGCGAGGTGGTGGCCGCCTCCACGCCAGGAGAAAAAGCCTCAGAATGAAACCTTCCTCGCCGGAACCTGGACCTTGGACTTTTCCAGCCTCCAGAACGATGAGAATAGTTTTCTGTAAGCCACTCAGCCTGTGATGTTTTGTTATGGCAGCTGAAGCAGAAGGAAGGAAAGAGAGGAAGGGAAATGGAAATGAAGACGCAAAACTGGAAATGAAGGGAAAATTGGAAATCATATTGGAAATGATGAAGTAAAATCATGTGTATCCGCAGGTGACGGGATCTAATGTTTAAAGGTTGTAGGATACGAGATCAATGTACAAAAAGCAATTCATTATACTTGGGCAAAAAATAATACAATCAATAAAGTAATTCCATACAGAATAGCATAATCTCACAAAAGTACAAGAACCCCTGAAATGGCTGAAGAACATTAAAGCCCCAAATAACAGCAGAGACATTTCATATTCACAATTGGTAGCCCCAAGTTAAGATGGCAGTTCTTCCCAAACTGATCTGTAGATTCAGTACAATCCCTGTGAAATTTTTCATAGGAATTTTATAGGTCCTAAAATTTATGTGGAAATGCAAAGGACCCGGAATTGTCAAAATAATTTTGAAAAAGAACAAAGTTGAAGGACATGTACAACCCAAATAACTATAACAGGACAGTTACCGAGACAATGTGTGCTGGCGTAAGGATAAGACATATAAGTTAGTGAACGTGATTTAGAACCCAGAAATAAACTCTTGGATTTATGATTAATTATTCTCCACAAAGGTGCCAAGTCAATTCGATGGGGGAACAGCTAGTCTTTTCAAGAAATGGTGGTAGGCCACCTGGATATCCATAGGCAGAAATATTAACTTAGACCCCTGTACACGCACGCAAAACAGTCAAAACGGTTCATAGATCTAAGGGCAAAAGCCAAACCATCTAGGAGAAGGCATATGAGAAACTCTTTGTGACCTTACGTTAGGCAGGGTCCTTAGCTATCACACCAGAAGCATGATGGGTTTTTAGAAACCTGATAAATTACAATTTATCAAAACTAAAAATTGAAAAATCTTTTCTTATACCATTAAGAAAATAAAACGACAAGCCACGGATATGGAAAAAATATTTGTGAATCATATTTCTGATTGCTTATATCCAGAATACATATATAATTCAATAAGAAAACCAATTTAAAAATGAATAAAAGATACAAATAGATTATACCAAAGAAGATAAATGAATTCCTTACAAGCACACTAAAAAATATCTGACACTGTCAGTCATTATATTAATAAAAAAACATAAGGAGGTACCATTACATACTAGAATAAATACCAAAAAGTCCCATGATAAGAAGTTTTTGTATGGATGGAAGAAACTAGAACTCTCATGGGTGGATGTAAAATTGTGCAACTACATCATAAAAACTACTTTCCTTAATATATCTTTTTTTTTTTTTTGAGAAAGAGTCTCACTATGTCACTCTGGGTAAAGGGTTGTGGTGTCACAGCTCACAACCACCTCAAACTCTTGGGCTTAAGCGAGCCTCTTGCCTCAGCCTCCCAAGTAGCTGGGACTATAGGCACCCTCCACAACACCCAGCTATTTTTGGTTGCAGTTGTCATTGTTGCTTAGCTGGCCTGGGCTGGGTTCGAACCCACCAGCCTTTGTGCATGTGGCCAGCACTGTAACCACTGTGCTATGGGCACTGAGCCTTAAAATATTTCTTAAGTGGTAAATGTAAACTTACCTATCTGACCCAGTAATTCCACTCCTAGGTTTCTACTCAGGACATGTGGAAAATTATTTACACTTAATGATTTGTATGTAAATGTTTGTAGAAGCAATAAATAGCACCAAACCAGAAATAATGTAAGTTCTACCAAGTAAATGAATTAATAACTAAAATGTGGTACATTCATTCACTGGAATACTATTCAGCAATAAAAAAGGAACAAACTGCTGGTACATTCAGGAACATGGAAATATCTCAGGCACATTATGCTCCATAAAAGAAACCAGACACAAAAGTTTATATAATTATATGATTCCACTTAGCTGAATTATCCAGGCCAGGTGCAGTGGCTCACGCCGATAATTCTAGTACTCTGGAACTCTAGTACTCTAGTACCCTCCAAGACAGGAGGATCACTGGAGCTAAGGAGTTTGAGACCAGTCTAAGTAAAGGCCATCTCTACTAAAAATAGAAAAATTAGCAGGGTTTATGGCAGGTGCCTGTATTCCCACCCAGGAGGCTAAGGTGGGAGGATCGCTTAAGCCCAGGAGATTGAGTTTGCAGTGAGCTGTGATGACACCACTGCATTCTAGTCTGGGCGACAGCAAGACTCTGTCTCAATAAAAGAGAAAAAAAGAAAAAAAAGAAAGACTAAAGAAACATCCAGGAAGGCAAATCTACAGGAACAGAAAACAGATCGGTGGTAATCTGAGGCTGGGAATGGGAGCAGGGATTAACTGTAAATAAACATGAGAATACTTTATGTGTGGCTCAAAATGCTCTAAAATAGGCCAGGCATGGTGGCTCACACCTGCAATTCTAGCACTCTGGGAGGCCCAGGTGGGTGGATTGCCCTGAGATCCGGAGTTCGAGACCAGCCTGAGGCAACGTGAGAGCTTACCCCCCCCCCAATAAAAAAAAAAAGCTAGGCGTTGTGGTGGGTGCCTGTAGTCCCAGCTACTTGGGAGGCTGAGGCAAGGGAATCACTTGAAACCAAGAGTTGGAGGTTGTTGTGAGCTATGATGCCACAGCTCTCTACTTTTAAAGTGAGACTGTCTCCATAAAGAAATTAATTAATTAAATTTAATTTAAATTTTAAAATGCTCTATAATGATTGTGATGATGGTGTCACAGCTCCATAAATTTACTAAAAATTACTGATTTATATGCACTTACAAACGGGTGGATTTTATGGTATGTAAATTATATCTCAATAAAAATATAAAAAGTAAGAAAAATTATGATTTGGTTTCAATTATTTTTTATAGTATACATAAGGAATTTGAAGCCATTTTAAAGAAGCAATTCTTAAGATAATAGAAACAATTTTTTTAAAGCTGGAATAATATTTCCAAGTGACTTTTAACAAATTATAGGCTACTGAGTAAATTGCATTACCATAGTATAAAATTCCCTACAACCATATTTTTGTAAAATCTTTAAGAATGCTTGTTAAGTGGATTAGCAAAATATTAACTCATAAATGAATATATATATTCTTGTACATATGTGCATTGAGAAAATAGGATAAGGAATAAGGAAGGCTGCTAATACCTCAATATTGCTTAACTTTGTAATAGGAATTAGCAACCAGGCAAATAACAACCAAACATACACCACATACAACACCTTAAAGAATATGGCCAAGGATGTATACAGAGGAAAGTTCATAGCTGTAACTACATGTATTATTATTATTATTTTCTGAGACAGAGCCTTAAGCTGTTGCCCTGGGCAGATTGCCGTGGCATCACATAGCTCACAGCAACCTCTAGCTCCTGGGCTTAGTCCTCCCAAGTAGCTGGGACTACAGCCGCCTGCCACAACACCCAGCTGTTTTTTTGTTGCAGTTTGGCCGGGGTCGGGTTTGAACCTGCCACCCTCGGTATATGGAGCCAGCGCCCTACCCACTGCACCACAGGCGCCACCCAGAATAGTGTAAGTTTTAAAGTATGATAAAAATAAAGCTGAAATTAATTAGAAAAAGCAGAATTGATAAACAAATACAAGAATTTGTTCTTTTGAAAAAACAAAAAACATGAACACTAGTAGATAAAACATATTGTCCTTTGTTTTTTTTGTTGTTGTTCTTGTTTTTTGCTTTTTTTTGGAAGACAGAGCCTCAAGCTGTCTCCCTGGGTAGAGTAACGTGGCGTCACAGCTCATAGCAACCTCCAGCTCCTGGGCTCAAGCAAGTCTTCTGCCTCTGCCTCCCAAGTAGCTGGGACTATAGGCGCCAGCCACAAGGCCCGGCTTTTTTTTGGTT